ATAGCACACTCCAGAATTATCTTTTAAATTATACATGTGGTAGGTAAGGGTTTAATGTATTACAAAAGATGAAAAAAAATTATTTGTAATGAGAAAGCAGAAACAAAATTGTTTACCATGTTAAAATTATACCTTTTAACCTTTCAGAAATGAAACATTCAGTAGTAGAAAAATAAAAAGCTTGGATGGACCCAAACCAACCATTTTCGGAATGCTACTTTTAGAGGACATTTGCAACCGTTATCTTTTCATTCCGATTGAGACTATGAAGGTTTCATTTACAATTTCAGAATTTCCCACAGCACTGAGATTCTGGTTCCCAGCCAGCTCTAGTTTTAAGTAGATTGTGCACCGTGGATAACGAGGGCAGAGTATTTACTACTTACTCCTGCAAGGGTAATGTTGGAAAGGAGCACGCCCTTCTTACTACTGGTCTGTGAGGGGCAGGCAGGACCCCAAGTCAGGGAGAGGACGGGGGAGGGGGGGTGATTTTAGCCGTCACAGGCAGGGCTAGAAGAAGAAACCAAGAGATCTTAATTTGGATTGCGTAGGAAAGATGGCTGTAGGTCCAGAAGGAATAATATAGGTTGAAAAATCTACAATCTAGTTTATCTAGCTATTTCATCCCCTTCTGCATCCCAGAATTACCCATTCATTAAAGCCACTTTCACTGTTATCCTTGCTTATTTTATTCTAATTTCTTTAGATCCTGCTATTCACAAGTATTACTATGATAATGAATGTGAATAAATCCAGAGGTCAAATAAGACAAATCCAAACATCTGTACCTTAGCATATCTTTAAAGTCCTAACCAGTGTGCTTCATCTCACCTTAGCTGTGCAGAGGACTGAGTCACTAACTCGTTTCCACACAGCAGAGAGCTGATTGCCTTCATGTTATGCTTGGATGGGTATGGGGACTTGTAAATTCTCCATCCAAGAGAATTTAAACCCCATACTGCCCATTAGTGAAGAGAAATGAACTTGAGCTAGGGCTCAAGCTGCAGAACATTTCTTAGTCAAGTGGAAGGTCGTTTTCTGTTGTCTAGCTGTGGAGTGAGATTTTCAAAACCTCAAAGTGACTTAAAAGTACAGGGTATATCTACTCCTCTCTGACTGCTCTTACTAGAGCATAAACATAACTCTAAGTCCCACTGGCTTTTGATTCGGCTTTTAGCTCTCTAGTGTTGAAGTCGCTTCTAGAAATGGGACATTATCTCCTAAATTACAAGGCGCTTTTGCAAATGTGTCCCATGATGGTAGCACTGCTGCTGTCCTGCTTGGTCTACAGAAGTAACAGGACAAGATTGTAATGGATATTGTCTTTCCAATCGCTTGCGCTGGTAAGCAGTAACAGGCATTGGCTCAAAATCTAAGTAGGCAATATGGTTATCCAGAGAAATCCAACTTGTTCTGTTTAACTTGTGCTCGCTGATATTGAGCCGTGGGAATGTCAAGTGGAATCACTTCTGCTTGTGTGATGTTTTGGTTGGACTTGATAATCTTTGAGGTCTCTTCCAACCATAACGATTCTATGTTTCATCATGACTATTATTATACCTTTTATTGTATTGCACTAGGCTTCAAGAGCCTTCATCACTGGCCAGCGCTCCCTTGTGTTAGATGCTGCACAACCATGGAGCAAAAGGACGATGTCCTGTAGAGCCCTTCTGCTGAGTGTTTTCTCTGCTGTGTGTTTACTGCAGTTTAGATTCACAGCTTCTAGCTCCCAAGTCAATCTAGCAATGAGGGCAAACATTGCCCATTAGCAGTGTCTGCAACAAAACATCATGCACATGAAGCCCTAGCCATGCTGGCAGCCATAGCAAGCTGTTTATCTCCTCTCCTTTCCTCCACAGTTTATGAGAGCGAGGACTTACCTCCTCACGGCATCTCATGTCATGAGAACAAATGACCAGCACCAGCAGCAGACACAGCCCAGATGAGGCTGATGCATGATACAGACATGCATCCTGTCCTGTCTGGTTCCCATGGGAAAGAAGCTACAGCCCCTCTCCCTCTTTCCCCAACCCTCCTTGTTATCTCCCAGTCTCAATACCCCATAGTTACTTTTTCATGCTGTCAATGCCAGGTGCGGAGCTGGGAAACATAAGCCATCTGCAGCTGACAGCAGGCAGCCCCCGTGGGATAAAACAGTAATGAATATCACCAGGATATCGAGGGTCTAGAGGCAGGAATCCGGCTGACTGCTGCTGAAGGGATTGAAACAAGTCACAGAAATATCCCGGCTTCGTCAGGAAGGAAAGGCTGTATAATTTCCAGCTGGAGATGAATGTGATTATTTGCCATGCAAATGGATTTTGCCAGCTCAAAGTGGCCTTCATCAGCAGAGATTGTTGTATTTCACATTATCTGGTTACTTTTGTTTAATGCCTCTGTGCCTTTTCTGAGCACTTCCTTCCCTGAGCACGCATCATCCAGACTAATTAGAGACAGGTATTTTTTTTCCTGCCCATCAATCTGAAGACGTGTGAGCTGAATCCATAGCTGCTTCCCTTCCCAGTCCCTCTCCAAATATGAAACAAAAGGTAAGGTCATTTGTGCTGACAGTCCTGCAGGCTGAGTATTCTCCACGGATGGGAAGCACGATGGTCACATTTATCTCACCTAACTTTAGCTACTTAAAAATTAGCTGTTTAGTCCAACCTAGTCTTCCTAGTTCCTTCAAAATTCAATAGAGAGGGAGGTCTGCAGAGGGACTTCCTCCCGACCTGAGATAGATGGGGTGAATCATCCCTGGAGGTCCCTTCTGAACTCCAGAGGTTGTTTGGTGAGCATGTCTCTCTTAGAGAGTTAAAGATAGGATAGAAGATCAATGCCCATCTGCCTGCCTTTCCCACAACATCCAGCACTCCCACAACAAACCTCTGATCCCCCTCTCTGGCTGGCAGTGATGGGGAAGCATAAAAAGAAAGTAATCTGGGATGAGGGACTGTCGATCTGCTCAGCCATGTTGCTGCAGTTGCCAATGAAGGAGGACGTTTGCATGAGACAGCGCAGGATGGGGTAACCAGCATATAGCTTATGGTTGGAAACCATGCCAGTGGGCTGCAGACCTGAAAAATTCTTCTTTGTCCTACCTTTAGTGTTTTTTAAGATCTGGATGATTAAGAAAAGAATTTGTGAACTCACTATAGTGTCACCTTGGAGATGGGTCCTGTAGACTTCCCTGAAAAACCTTGAGAAGTGCTTCTTCCAAGTAATTCACTGAGCTTGGGTTTATGGTGAGATGGACTCTGCTGCCCAGTTTCAGAAAAGCCCATGGAAGAAGAAACCAGAGGGGAGGGCAGAGGCTGTGCTTGCAAATGAGGTCCTCGTGCAGAGGAAAGCCTGACCCATCTCTAACCATAGAAGTTCTTTCAATCACAGCTGTAAAATACACTGCTTGTCCTTTCTGTCGTGGCAATCCCTTGCAGCCATGTTTCCTGCAGTTGCTCTTTGGCACGAGTGAAAGCTGCTGTGATCATTCCCCAGGAGCGTGGGGCTGACAGCACATGTGGTGGGATGGATCTTATTTCCACATATTAAACCACGTGCTTTCTGCTCTGCCCCGTGTGTTGCGTGCGTGAGCTCCGTTGCTGTGCCTGCTTTCTGCTGGGAAGTGATCTCAAAGAGTTTTGACTAAAGAGATTTCAGGGTGGGTTGATCTAAACAGGGAGATGAGGTGATGTCTGCGGGAGCAGCTGCCCTCACATCAGCAGTGTTTAAAAACAGACTGGACAAACTGGAAGGGTGTAACCTAGGTAAGTCGTGCAACTGGTGGCATATGTGGGTTTAGTCTCTTTCCAGCTCTAATTTCAGTGATTAGCAGGATGTGTTTTTTCCCTCAATGAACCAACGGAGCATGCAGGTCTGTTTGTCAAGTCGTATTAAAGCACAGTAAACCATAGCAGCTGGACCCAAGGCTTCACGCAGATCCAGATATGGCATAGCATGTACTATCATGAGCTGGTGCAGTGCCCTTAGCCGGACTGGGATATCTCTGTTACCATCCGATAAAGAATATTTCTGTGAAGTGACTCGAGTCAGCAGAAAGGCTACACTGAGACATGGTCCCCCATGAAGAAGTAAACGATGTTTCTCACCGGCAGGTCCTCCTTAGTCAGACTGTCTGGCTTTATCAAATAGCACTGTAAGTTAGTTACCTTCTGTCTGGGACAGTGCTCTGCATCTAGAGAAGGAGCATATAAATAATTTAGACAGAATGCATGAATACTGACATCACTCTAAAATTATCCTCCACTCTTAAAAATTATTTCAAAATATTTTAATATAAATTAATGCCTGCTTGACTTATTTTCCTCTGAAACTATGCAATGGTTACAGATAATTGGCTGTGTAATTGCAGTGAGTGCAAAATACTTAGATTTTAAGGCGTTATTGTGAACATCTTGCCTAACCATATGCTGAATACAAAACAATGAATGTCAGTAAGCAAATTATTCATTAAGGCCGTAGCTCCTCTCTGAGCTTCAGTATGTCTTACAGAAAAAGACAGAGTTTTGGTTTTTAAACTTCAGGTGACAGAGGAGCTGACCTAGTGATCCCAGTTGGTCTGTATATCTGATCTGTCTCCATGCTGGTGCTCCTTCCCGCTGTGGGTACATGGCACAATACAGACCTCCCCAGAGCTGATGTTTGGATGGGCATTGCCCTGGGCAGGGCTAGAGCTTCCTTGTAGTCATCTCCATGTCTTATTATTAATATTATTATATACTGTGGAAGGAGCTCAAAATCAAAGCAAATTCAATCAGTTTATTGCTGATTTTTTTTTTGACTGTGAATTATTTATCCCCCCTCTAATTACATTGACACCTTGAAAAGTAGATTAAGAACTGAGACAGACCTTTGACTTCCCTGGAAGTGGCTGGAGAATGTGACTTCGGGTAAATGCCTGGGTAAATGATGGGCATGCAAGAGCAAGCTGCACCTTTTGGACCTTCACACTCCTCCTCTTTGACTCTCCTCTCTCTGTCCAGGTCTCTCTCCGGCCGCATAGTCGGTGGCGTCTGGTGGTTCTTCACCTTGATCATCATATCCTCCTACACAGCTAACCTGGCTGCCTTCCTCACCGTGGAAAGGATGGTTTCTCCCATCGAGAGTGCAGAGGACTTGGCTAAGCAGACAGAAATCGCCTATGGGACCCTGGAAGCTGGCTCCACTAAAGAATTTTTTAGGGTAAAAAGGAAAATTTAATGCAAACATTTTGATTAGCCTCTTGTTTGACAAGTCCTCCAGGCCTGTCCACTCTCATCCTCAGCTCAGATCTGGTTTTTTCTCTGACTTCCCCTTACTATCTTGGGACGTGCTGAGCTTGTCCTTAGAAGAGCAAAAATCCAGTTTTCCCTGTGCTGCTCAGAAGGCTGGCAGCGTCTCCAGTACATGTGATATTCTGCAATTGTAAGCACAAATATGGAATATCCATGTACTTCCCCATGTTACCAAGTAGCTACTCTGAGCAACTCCAAATGAAACCATCTCCTGATTTCCAGCTTGATTTGCCATTGGATTGATCCACAAAATCAATTGCCATACACAAGTATGTGGCAGAAATCGAGGGCTAATCTGGGCCTGGGTGCAGAAATGGCAGGAGGTTCATTAACATCCCGTTACTCCATTTGCCTTCCTTGGCCCATCCGATATGTGGGTATGTACTTAGTTCAAGCTGGAAATCTCAGCTGACACCTAAACCTCTGCTAATGCTTCTGCTGGGTTTCTTCTATCCTACACAGCGATCCAAAATAGCAGTGTTTGAGAAGATGTGGACGTACATGAAGTCAGCTGAACCCTCCGTTTTTGTGAGGACAACAGAAGAGGGGATGATCCGGGTGAGGAAGTCGAAAGGGAAGTATGCCTACCTCTTGGAGTCCACGATGAACGAGTACATCGAGCAGCGGAAGCCCTGTGACACCATGAAGGTGGGAGGTAACTTGGACTCCAAAGGCTATGGCATTGCAACACCAAAGGGTTCTGCGCTGAGGTAAGTAGCTTGGATTTGCTTTCTTTTGCCAAACCAGCCAGAAAATCAATGTATGCACACAGTCCAATCTCCATTGCCATGTTAATCACAAAAGCTTGGGGCGAGGAGGTGGGAGAGCTGGAGGAAAAGGGATATGAAAACTGGACGTGATGTGCAGGGAAGTAAAACGCCCAGCTCCCATTGAGCAGCAATGGGAACATCTAATTATTCAAGCCCTGCATTTGGAAACTGGATCCTGGCTGATCCACGTGCTATGAATGTGTCTGCTGTATTAGGTGATGGCAGGGGGGCTGCTGTGGTGTAACCATTGGTTTCACAGAGCATTATCCGGAAAGGACGCTCATCCTGTGCCATGTGAACTGCACAGCTTTGCAGAGTATGGTATCACCCTGGCTTGGATCCATGCTTGCAGAGGGAGTTCTCATGGGGAACGCATTTTGGTGTTTCCTAAAATGAAATGCTGTTTGGAAGGGGTGGGAAGCCAGTTTTGAAAAAGCCCTGCAAAATGTGTGCATTTTCATTCACTGAGTCAATTCAGATCCTGGCAGGCACCAAATTTATGGCAAGTCCAAAGGGGCACATACCCTGCATTTCTGAGCCCAGACCTGCAGCTGTCACATGCCTTTGCCTACTGTCATGTGAAATATCTTTAGAGACCTTCCTTTAAAAAGAATAACCCTTAAAAAGTACCGACCCATATCTGAGTTAGTAGCAGAGTTTGGGCACTGCACACAACCATACTCGTGGACGTGATCTGGCCCCCTGCAAAGTGCATCGTGCAAACTGACCTACTCAGAGCAGCATTACCAGAGTCTGCAAACTGGGATGGTGATCTGAGTCACGTCAGAGGTGTGGTTCCTTCTGGCAGCAGACATGCAAGTTCCTCACATTACAATCATGAGGAATATGAGTTGTAAGGATTTAGTGGGACTAGTAAATCTTCAGAAGCCATAGCTTTAAGTAATCTGAATGATGCTCCAACTGATTTAGTTCTTTATTGAACCTATTTTTATCAAAATATTTTGACAAAAATCATACATATGGCCTTATACTCGCTTACTAACATAACGCAAAGCAACAACATTTAATCCCTCATCTCTGGATTACTAGAAACTAGCTAAGCATTTGCTGATGGATTTGTCTGGTCACACAGCTCCCTAGCCAAAGCCAGCCCAAAGAATCAAAGATGTATCAACCAGTAATGGATGAGGCCCAAGGATTTTGATTATTACATTTATTAAGTCAGCTCAAATTAGATTCAGCACTTAGCGTATTAGCAGTATCTTTAGAGAAGCTCATGAATGCAGTGCAGGTGGTCCAGAAGGCAGTTCTTGCATTCAATCTGGTTCAGGCTCTGAAATGACTTGTGGCCCTCCAAATGAAAGTGGATATATTCTCACAGCTTTGAGATGTTTTCTGCTGCACCCTCTCCGGTGTTTGTTTTCTGTCTTGCAAATACGGAAATTAGGATACAGAGCTGATTCTATTTATTTATTTATTTAAACATCAATCTTGTGTCCTAATTTTGATATTACAAAAACAAACAAATGGGAACACCCTACCTGTCTTGTAATTGTTGGCATGTGAAGGAGCCATCTATCATACTTTTAAGAAAAGTAAACAACAAAAAAGAAAATTGCATCAATCATTTTAATTTTGCAGCTCAAACATCCCTCTGCTAGGCTTGATTCCAAAACTTCCTAACATTTCTTTCCGTTTCCTCTTTTTCATCCCAGCTGCATGTAGAACAAATTTCTTATGGGCCTAATGGCAAAGGAGGAATGCTTGATTTTCCATCCAGTGGTGTTTCTTTGGAACAGTTGCTGTCAGTTTTTGTCCCATTATGTTTGTTTTGTTCTTGTTGTTTTAATTGTTTTAATCTTAGTAGTTCCCTACAGTCATCATGTAGTGTCTGTTTTCCCCTTGGGATCCTGCACGTGAGAGGTTGCCCTGAGCAAGGTGACATTCATGAGGCATCTGCATAGCACGGTCAGCCTGTCTCTTACTCAGGCTTCATCTTCACTCACTTCCATCCACAGAGTAAAAGCTCTGAGCCAGGTTTAGCATTACATGTGAGCCAGGCCTATCTTAGATCAGGTGTGTTTTAGAAGCTGGGCTGCATTTTGATTTTTACTGCGACCTGTCCCTTTTGTAGCTGGACCGGTTTTCCTGCATTTAGGATAGCTCATTAGGAAAGGATCCCAGAGAGATGCTAAATGAGAGTTCACCATAGTTTTTCTTGCTTCTACATGGGAACACAATGCCAGGGTATTGCCACAGATGAATGAAAACAAGGCTGAAAATCCAGAAATAATTGTACATGTTGTAGCAGGTGGAAACATCCCTCTCAGACCATCAGTTAGGTCTCTTGGGCTGCTAAAAGAGCTTGCTTCTTCCTCCTAGGTGAATCTGGCTTTTAATATATTTTGGCCTCCAGATGTTAAAATTCAGTTGCATTTAGGCATGGCTGAGAAGGACAATGGTGAGAGGGCAAAAATAACACCTTTGAACACCAGCTACTTCAAGGTGTGATCCTGTCTGACATGAGATAGCCATGCAGCTGCAAAACCCATCCATTCACCTGGCAGGAATTCTTCTCCACTGTTGGACAAGTGATCAGAAGAGGGCAAAAAGCCAACTTATCCAAAACAGAGGAAAGAAAACCCAGGAAATCCCATGTGAGTCTGGACTCAAGGAATACAGAGGTTTTTGAGATGGAGATCTGGGAGGGCAAGTTCTTCAGAGCAGCCATATTAACATTAAAGTTCCCTAAAATTTCTAGGGTCCATGAATAAACACGAAATATTCCCTGCTAAAAAATCACTTTATTTCAGGACCCCAGACCTCTCAGTTTTTCATCAAAATACACTCAAGATGAAGTACAGCTTGTTCTGTACTTAAAGAGAGAGACAATTAACTGAAATGAAGCTTCCTAGGAAAGATAACATGTAACTCTTAGCACATGGCCCCAAAAATCATATGGCTGATATTCTGCTGAGGGAAACTGCAGTGCATTTACTTTGTTAACACCTTATACCCACATAGAAGCTGCAATGTATTTTGGCTCATTAGTTAACTAATCTTTTGCAGATGGTTCAGACATCAGAGTGCTAATTAACCTGTATTCTGTTTTAGAAAACAGAAATAATTTTTCTTTACTTAGTGTCAAATTCTTTCTGGAGATACTCACATGTTTCCATTGGCTTTAAATGCAACCAAAGTTAGACTCTGACCACAATACCGTTACAGTAAAAGAGGGAAAATATTCAGCCATCTTCAAATCTACACCTTCGCCTTCTCTTGGACTTGTAGCAAGTTTGACTGTATCTGAATTTTGCTTTTTGAAGGCTGGATTCTGCCTGAGGGAGGCTCCCAGTCCTTGTGAAGGCTTCAGTGCTCGGGTGGGATCCCAACAGGCAGAGCCATCGTGGGCTCATGGAGGTCAGCACATCCCTCTTGCTCACCGCCAGGA